TGGTAATTACACAGTTTACAAATCGTTTTACAGTTTATACATCACAGTTTTACAAATCAAAGACGAGTATTTTAAAGTCAGCGCGCACGATGCTTGTTTTTGTGCTGGATTGCTTACTGGATAAAAATACTGTGTTCTGATTGGTGCATTTATGAAGATAGATGGAAATACACCAATCAAAACAGAGTATTTCCAGCGAGCAATCGAGCACAAAAGCAAGCATTGTGTGTCGCTGGTTTAAGGTCAATTATCGATCATTGTGTTTACATATTTGTTACAATTTCAAGTAACGAATAAAAAAACAGTAATTCTAATCAATAATTAGATTCCAATATCCAAAGATGAGACGTTCAATACGAAATTGACAAATCAGGAAAATAAGAGACTATCAACGACGTGTTGCGCGCGCATTGTGGCTGCTAAATGATTCACACATAGAAAAATTTTCAGCTTTATTTCTTGTAGGAAGTGAAATATAAAAAGCATTGAATAAAGAATACCAGGTAGAAGCATGTTGCGATATATCGTGAGTAATTGATTGTGTTGCATTGGTTCAGTTTAATGACGTGAAGTACGTCATAAGTGACGTTACCGGAAACAGTCTGGCAGTATACTTTAAACATCTTAGAAGTATATATAGCAAAGGAATATTAATTTTAAAAGAATAATAGAAAAATTGCATTTATATTTTGCTCATATTGGTCAGGGAAATAAAATTAGTCACTTATAATGATTTTCTTTTTAATACGTTTACGCACCTTTGTCTATTCGATTAATTGACAATATACGTTATAACATTTACTTCGATTCCATAGTATCGATAATCGCATTTGGTTCACTTTCATTACGTCACATCCTTCGCACTTCTAACAAAGGATTTTCTCTTTATGTTTCTCCCTGGTATTTTTTATTCAATGATAAAAAGCCAGTTTAGGTTTAGGTTAGAAGAGAGTACGTTAGGTTAGCTTGAGTAGGTAGGTAAATAGGTTATGTATGCGTATCGATGGAGTAAAGATAATCGCATGGCGAAATATCCTGCGAGCACAAAAGGCACAAAATGAAATGCCAGATAATCCTTCGAATTTCGCATTGGTTAAATATACGATATATTTACACAAACACTGAAGCGACTCATCTTGCGCTCGATACTCAAGAAAGAGATTCGATCGCTCCGCCATTTCTCCGTTGTGGCGTTCGATGAATCACGACTCGAACGAGTCGTTGCGTCGTGCACATTCGAGTGCTCGCGCATGAATCCCAGCAAATAGGCGAACGAATGCTACCAGCCAATCCACGCGTGGCTCTCTCTGGGTAACGACCAGTCAAGCTCATTGACAGATAGGCGACAAACGACCGCCGCGCGTAGCGTATCTCGTATTACGAATTACGGCATGTGCTACGAGAACTCGCGCCGTTTCTCATGCTCTTGCATCCGGCTAAAATCGCGTTGTGTTCAACGCATTTTCGATGGGCAACGCAAGCTCGACGCGGCAGCGGGCCATTTTGCGCAGTTCCCATGACCCAGATTACGATGGGGGGTTAGCTCGCCTCTCGGAACAGCTGTTGGTCATGAGAAGATGGCGAACGGCGCGGGAGGGGAAGAACGCTTGCGAATACTCGGTAATGTGCGCACGCGCATTCTTGGCGACTTATAATACCGTCAATTCAAGGACTGTATCTACCGCTGGTACTCTAGGTGCCCCGTGCGACAATGTTTCAGTTGGATGAAATTGGACTCATGAGCAGAGCCGCGTGTGCTTACGAGTGCTTGTTCGCACGAGTCTATCTTTCTCTTTGTTTCTCTATAGTTGTCAGGAATCGTTGGTGAACGAAATTCGTCGTCGTGAGACAACACAAACTCGTCACAAATTAGAGCGCAAACTTATAAGTAGTATGAGACGAGCATATCGCAAAATCGTGACTCAAACTGATAGTTCACGATTGTGGAATCGGAGTCCATTGGATGTTTACGAAGTCTCGAAGTGATACGCGTGTCGCGTATACGTACATAGCGTCCTCACGCATCGTGCAGCGAATAGATGATCGCGCGCGCAGCAGGAGTCTCTCCCGGGTCGTGCAGTCCCGTTGCATGGTCGACCGTAGCGCCAGCGAGTCGTGCGCTCGCGCCATCATCAGCGCCACGAACGACATCGTGGGAGGTGGTAGCCGGCGGCGGCGGCGGCGGCGGCGGCGACGGCGGCGGCGGCGGTGACGGCAGCAGCAAGCCGCTGACGCGAGTGGTTGGTAACAGAGACGCTGGTCGCGCAAATACGCTCCTGCGCAGTACCTTCTCCCACTACTGCGTCCCTTCCCGCTACGCGGCCAGTTGGTTCCTTGTTTGCCATACAAAATCCAATAGTTTGCCTTGTACCACTGAAGGAGCACGGGTGTGTGGTTGAGCGACTTTGCGTCACCTCCTGCGGAAAAGTGCGGCGAGTCTATCGTCTGATTGAACACACGTTTCTCAAGCTCGTGCTTGTTTGTAAAAATGCACATTGTCCTGCGCTTGTTTACCCACACGACGAGATTTCGCCGTTGTTGAGAGTGATCTTCCTGGCGCGCGCGCGTGTATATTCGTGGCAGTGAGAACACAGTGAATTCCTACGGGCGACCGGACCAACCGGCCCGTTGAGACTGTCGATTTTTTGGTCGTGAAAAAAAATAACGAACCGAGAAGGAGCAAGAAAGACAGAGCAGCGCGGGAGAGGCAGAAATTTTGTGACGCAGGGTGGAGGAGGAGAAGGAGGAAGAGAAGAAGGAGAAGGAGAATCCGAGTGTGTGAGAAGAAAGAGAGTGAGAAAGGAAGAAAGAGAGCGGAACAAGAAAGAGGGAGTGAGAGCGTGAAAAAGAGGGAGCGCGAACGGCGCGAGCGGAAGAGAAACAGAGAGAGAAGACGTGGGGGGGAGAGTGAGTGAGTGAGTGAGAGAGTGAGAGAGAAAGAGAGAGAGAGGAAGAGAGAAAGCGAGCGAGCCAGGCACTAAAGGTAGAGAAAGAGAGCTTTTGTAGTGTAAGGGTCGATCATATACGCCGTCGTCGAGGCTCGACACGAGGAAAGAGACTGGTGATACGGATAGATCGAGGGGTTGCGAGCAAAAGGTGTCTCCTCTCGCGGCACGGTACGGTACGCTGTGGTGTTGTGCAGTACTGTACAGTGCGGTGCGGTTAGGTGAGGTGAGGTGAGGTGTGCGGTGTGATCGCGGCGACGCGAAGGAAGTGACCGCGCGCGGTGCGGACGAACATTATTCGTCGGGGACCTCGCTCAGGGAATGCGTTATGTATTTACGTGGAATATTGCGTAACATACGAGAGACCGGGTAACGTGTTTGGAAACGCGCGCGCGTTCTACGAATCGTTCCTCGCAAACGATTGTGTACTGCAGGCACAGACATAGACACGGAATCGGGACGGGACGGGACGAGACGATAGAACGCCTGGTGTCCGTGCGGCCTGGCTGTACCGGCGCGAGTTTCGCGCGTGCATACGCAGCAGGAATCCAACCCGGCCGCTACTGCCGCCGACGCGATCGAAAGTTTCGGGAGAGATAGAGGAGACGCCAGTGCACAATTCGCGGCAAGAACCAAGGGACGTATCACGATCTCGACGCCACCACCACTACCACCACCGCCGCCACCACCACCACTTGTTCCCCTCGTCGCGCTTCCGCGACGAGACTACGTGGGACTCGGAGACGCGAAGCTTCTTCTCAGATGGAAATTGGTACGTACGAAGAGAGAACCTGACAGAGAGAAAGGGCCGAGATGTATGCACGCACGGTTGCGGTTACAATGTTTGGACGGACGCGCCTTCCTCCAGCTTCGTCTTGGAGTCACCGCGACTTTTTTCACGCATACGCAAGGTCGCGTCCACAACTCCGGCCGTCTCTCTCTCCCGTAGCTAGCACGAGGTTATAATTTATTTTTGTAACGTATCTCGCGCGATGAGCTTGCGCGTCGCTCTACTTTAACACGATAAATTCGCGTCCGTTTGATTGTGTGTGGATATTGTCGTTTATATCGGCAATTTCTCTGCACCACGCCGTGGAGAATATACGTTTTTGCATATGTTGCACGAATTGGCAAGAATGATCGATACAATTATTGAGTATGAGTTTTTGCGGCGTGGTCTTGTAAGACGTTAGCTAGCAATTTCTTACTGATACTTTGCGTCATTTTCAAACTGCTTAGTATTACTGTCGTAACATTGTGTGTCGCAGGTATAACATTCTTTGCAAAACTTTGTGCAAATTTGCACGTTTCTGTCACGCGACATAACCGTTCTTTTTGGCAGGCGAATTTCGGTGATGCTTAAATATTTAAGTATACACATGGCATATCCAAAGTACATACTTTGAAAATAATAGGTGGCAAGCAGTAAGTGAGCATACCTATTTGTGAATAACAATCCACTCAAAGCGGTTAAATATGTCACAATATGACGGAATCAACAATTCCAATAGATTCTTGCTTATTTCTCACTTATTTGTCACTTTGTGTGCATGTAACTCTTACTATACAACACTTTTCACCACCTTTGACATTTTCATGTCATTGATTTGTCTCGATGTATAATTTCACATCTCATGCCCCTTTTTGAGGATTCCACAATTCTAAAAAACTATGTGTGTACAAAACACAATACAAATGTGTCGTGCCAATAAGATTTGCAGATATAACACTCGTATCCTATGAAACCTAAGAAAATTCACTCATTTATTGTATTTTTATTTTTGGAAGCTTTGTAAGTAAGCTATATGGAAAATTTATTGCTACATGAATTACACTTATCCACACACAATGCACACATAATTCACATCATTAATATAGGGAAAAGTAACCCTCGTACAAGTTTGCAATATATTTTGTTAAAAGCACATGTGCTCTGACAGTTGACAACTATTTTATCGATTATATATTAAGTTGCAGTCAAAGTGCAAGTTGAGATGTATGTGATGTTGCATCTGTTAATCTGTTATATTTGTAGCATATCCAATGTGATTTGCAATGAAACGTGTTCGTGGGCTGGACGACGTAGCATCACCAGCAGCAGCAACGTTAAAGCATTCATCGGTGAGTGCAGCAAGTGGCTTAGGAGGTGGAGGAGCAGGAGGAGGTGGAGGAGGAGCAGGAGGTGGAGGAGGAGCAGGAGGAGGAGGAAGTG